GTTATTCAAATTGTTTATAAGCGAAAAACGCACGGTTTTTTAATGCACAATTTGAGAATGTTAATGTCAAAAAAACGGTGATATTTTTTAATAGGTCGCTTAATTGCGTCTTTAAGATTACAATGACGCTTTCAGAATCATGTTTGATTGAAAATTAACGTCTGTACAGAGGCTTAAAGTTCATAACTTTTGGAGCCTCCGCTATAAACAAATAGAATTGTGCGAAAACTATTGCACCTACAGCGCCCACTTTTGGCACACTTTTAAAGTATGACAAAACCCTCAACTTGTCATAGGTTTTATAAAATTTTAACAATAAATGCGATAGTTATAAACAAATGAAAAAATGGGCACTTTTCTTGTTTTTTTGCAATAACTTTTTTATTTATTAACCGATATTAATTTAACAAGTCTCATTTTGTAGATAATTTTACTCCCTACAAGCTGTCCGTGAGTCACTTTTCGCTAAAATTGATGGTTTTCCCTGCAAAGTGAAAAAACTGTTTTCCTCACTTATTTGTTTAAATAGAAAAGTTAGCTAATAAAAGTTTTTGACTCACGAGACGAGAGATGTCTTGTATTATGTTCCTTTAGACAATTTTACAATAATCTAGCGGATAGGACTTTTTTCGAGTTTCTCTTTTATTTTCGCTAATTTTCCTGATGTAATGATGAATAATTTTTACTATGGTTTACCTGTAGTAAATATTGTCGTTAATTTTCATCATGTGTTAAGCGATCATTATACGTTTCAATAAGAGCTACACCTCTTTTCGCCGTGTCATTAACAACTCTTAATTTTTTTAAAATATCCAGACCTTGTTGATAATTGGGATTCCAGAATTCCAGAAATCAGGATCACTTTGAAAGAAGTCATAAGACAATTTAAAATTACCAAAAATTAAAACTGGAATATTATCAAATTTTATCATGATAAAATCATGGAATGCACAACAAACAGTTATTTAACAATTTGGAATCACATTTTCAATACGATAAATTTGATAATATAAAGATAATTTAAGTTTTCACATATTTGATTATATTTATCCCGTGAACTAGGGCTGTCAAACTGAGCCGCGGGATAAAGACGTACGCATTATTTATTAAAAAGCAACAAATTAAATTATCTACTATAGACCACGATAAACACCAATGGATAGGAATTAATTATGCAACATCTCCATGATAACAAAGACAACAGTATACTAGCGTGACATGAACGTGAAAAGCATTCTGAGGCCGCCGTTCACGCATGCCTCAGTTGACTCGTTTGGCACGCTATTGAATTGCGGCTTTCTCTGACAGCCTTACTAATAACTAGATACTGAGGACCTTTTTTATAACAAATTTAATTTCCTATAAAAATGTCATTTACGTTTTTACTATAAGTCTAGTCATATATGAGAAAAATGCAAAAATCGATAAAAATTAATTTTAAAATTTTTTACCAGTGAAAAACTATATTGCCTTAATGAAAAATTTACAAAATGTTATTTATCGCCTTATTGCACCAGGATTTTGAATAACCATTTTTCAAAATAATTCAAGTGGAAACTTTTTCGTGGACCAGCTGGTGTATAGGAATTATATCCGAGTGGCATGAAAATTAAGGAGAGAGAAGAATCATGAACGCATCAGTGAAAGAAGAGAAATCTAATACACGGCATTTTAACTAAAATTGGTTTTGTAATAAATAAGAAATCGGAGAGGGTGGCCATTTAGGGTAGACATATCACGGCACGATTTAAAAAGAATCGAATCCAATAGATGATATCAGTTGAATTTTTCCATTACCTGACGCTATCTATTTGATGAATGAGAAAGAACCGGAAAACACCGTTTTACTGGGCTTTCCTTATTATAGCCATCGCAGAATAAATAGTTCCTGCTTTATTTCAGCTTGTTTCTTATTCTCTGTACCGAAGTCTTTTATATCTGTATCGAATATATCACCGTTGGTCAACAAGTGTATGTGTTTTGGTTTTCTATAATAAAAAATTGGAAACGTTGAAATATCTTAATAAAATATACATGATCGTTTTATTTCGCATGCTCTGCAAATCGTTTTTTATTTACATGCATATAAATAAACTCATTTCAAATATACAGGATGGACTAGTGTTTATAACTATATTTGTATATAACAAAATAATTTTCATGGTAAGTTTTAACTTAAAATTCAAAAAAGTTAACACGCTATTATGTTTAAGAGTAAACTTATAACATTTTATTTAAAACCGCTAAGATTAAATGTAAATATCCTATTATTAAATACTGGTTAATTTCATTATCATTTTCTTAGTACATAGTCAAATAATTTCAAATTATTTTATCTGCATGATATACTAATCAAGAGGCAACTGAATAGTTTCTTAGGGCATAGTTTTTATGAAAAGTCAACCCATATGGACAGCTATTTGAACACTGAATCTTATTACTATCCAGCCCAGAAGCAAGGTAGTGTCAATACAATCAATCATTCGCGAACCAGGTTTAGTTGTGAAATCATCTCACTTATGATCAGTTCTTAGAGCAAATAGATACATTATCAAAAATATTGAATGAATAATTTTCCTTTCTTTTCTCTGTCTTATCCTGTAGACTTGTTCTACGATGTACTTTTGTGTGTAAAGTCTAAAAGTCATGCATGTAACACATAATTTTCTTAACATCCGCGTATTTAGGAACGGTTTATGAGCAATTTTGAGTCTCAAGCATTCAAAGATCTCGTATTCAACCAGGATATGCAATGCTGGTCATCCTCCCAGTTGCAGTGTCGACAACAGATCGAATTCAATTCTCCACTAATATCATACTGTAGAGTGATTTTTTCAAGGACAAAGTCTAGTGTATTTCCAAAGACAGTCCTATATTTGATCGCTATTTATTTATAGACCAGGGAGAATCTCTCGAAATATCCCACTTCTTGGATGTAAGAGGAGGCAAGCTAATTTTTGCTGGAATACCTTCAGTACAACTCACATAATAAAAGTGTAGATCCTTAGATCTGGGCTAGGTTCGGAACATTTTCAAAATTGCAAAAATGTTTAAAAAATAAAAAAATACCTATTTGATCTGAGTGTTTTACTTATATCTTGGAACCTATGCATTTTGAAAGAATATTTATTAGAATATAGAATACAAGAATAATTTTTTTTAAATATTTTATTTGCTCCGAGGGCAATCTAGTTTTCGTAAAAAACATTAGAGTATAATAAAACAACAGACCAAATTATTCAAATCGGTTAGACAGTTTTCGCAAAATAATTTTTTGAAAAAAAATTTTCGAATTTTTAAAATGTTGCCACAGCCTCAAATAAAGCATCTAGATACTTGAAAATTTTTTCACATAGAAAGGACCGCTCAACCTTTTAAATGGTTTTTATAAAATTGAAATCGGATGATTAGGACTGCCATAGTAAATTTTTTAAGTTGTTTTTTATTTTTAAATAATTAGATTACATTTATCAATTACCAATTTAGTTTTTTTCAAAAATTANTTGGACTTCTCAAGGAAGACCCGATGGCAAGGATCTAAACTGGCCGCGACGACTGGGACGATCAACACCAATCCCCAATGAGGTATTGGCTCTTGGAGTAGCAGGAAACAAACCTCTGGGGTGATCCCGGACTCAGGTGTAGAAGTTCCACAGAATTAAGTCCACTTTTCAGAATGCTTAACTGCAGGAAGTGTAGACGTCTCTGTTCCAAGCCCGTAATAAAACCCTGTATAAAATAAAATGCAATAATAACACTATCCCTATTGGCACACAAATAATCTTCTGTAATTCAATGAATAAACAAAACAAAATGGTAATGAAACACTAAGTTTTTTTTCCCATTACTTGAATGTTACATAATATAGTTAGGTTAGGAATACCCGATACCCATATTATTGTATTCAACCAGACCGATTATACAAAGAAAATAATATCAAAACTGCATCTATTATTACATCAAAAGCTAAATTCCCAAAACCAAAAAAAAGGAAAAGAATGGTGGGATTAAAATGTACCCCAAACTGGATCTAATAAATGGAAAATAACGACCTCGCCACTTTTCTTGTGAAAATTGGAAAATTAATAAACGTGACAACGTCGCAAACCGAGCGTACAATATAAAATAACCATTCAAGTAACGAAATGACACAAAAATTGATTGTATGAGCACTTATACTCATAAATGGAACATGCAACACAATATTTAATTACATAATATGTACACTAAACATCAAAGAACAATGTAAAACAAGATACTTACCCTTATAACTAAGGGGTTTTAGTCACAACTGCATCACACTAATGCAGACCACTCACGGCGCTAACCACTCCAGGTACAGGCCTCCAGGTTTATACTGTGCACGGAGTTCTACTCAGCACCAAGACGGCGTGAAAATAATCCCTTGCTAAGGCTTCGACTCAGGTTCTCATCCACGAAAAATACTCCAACCAGGGAACCAGACGAATCCCAAGCCAACTCACGGTTATGGGGAAAAATAATCCTCAAAGGAGATGACTTCTATAATCACCGATTTTCCCCACAACTTAACTCATAACCGAAAAATGGCCACCCTCTCCCTGTATCCCAGAATAAGTCAATCCTGCGCAAGTAGTTTGACGCAGTTCCAAAATTAATTCTCAACTACCTTGCCATTGGTTCGACAGTAACCAATGGGAAAAACACATTATAAAAATAATGAAATAAATCTTACAGATGAACAATAACGTAACAAATATTTAAATGTTACATCATTTTAGACTATTATAAGAACAACTGTACAAGCATAACGATAAGAATAATTAATTATGAAACCTAGAACTTCTTAAATGTCCTAAGTGATTTGGCAACAGGGTATCACGCGCAAACGTAGGAGAACTGCTTCATCAATCAACAGGTGACCGTGGGTCAAATCGAGAACGGCTAGAAAATGGCGAGCTATCGGACCCAATGTAAACAATCAAAATTGTTCAAAATTTATGGATAACGTTCCAGGGATACACAGGCGTGTGGAAGTGACTGAAATAGGTAAGTTATAACGATATTTTACATATAAGTTGCTTGTAACCTTACTTATAAGTTTAAGAATAGCCTTATAGCTTGTTTATAATTTGGGTTATGTTTATGACCTAATTTATTTTTATTTTAGGTCTCCCTGGTTATCACCGAAGACACTGTAGATGCCCCCATGAGTAGTAAATACCAGCACCATGTTTCTCAAAGCCCCATTTGCAATTTCAATGCTAATAAAGTGTTGCAACAAGTTACGATTTGAAGATAACTGCATTTCAGAAACGTAAGTATACCAACCAATTTTTATTTGACTTCCGATCGATGTGTTGTTTTTTATTTGTAGGGCACTATTTGTTGGAATATACAGGAGCTTCCGTGATTATATATGTATGTTATACGTTGTATTTTCACTAAATAAAACTTGATAAATATTTCGTGTTTTCTTTAGGTTTGGTAATTTAAACTAGGTATAGTAATGCAGAAATTTAACGTTACACCGCTAAGATTAAATATAAATATCCCATTATTAAATACTGGTTAATTTCATTATCATTTTCTTAGTACATAGTCAAATAATTTCAAATTATTTTATCTGCATGATATACTAATCAAGAGGCAACTGANAAAGCTATCGCACCGATTTTAATGAAATTTGCTTTTATTAATTATTGCTATTTTGCAACATCGATAATAAATTTAAATATAGAAAAAAATATATTTTCGCAATTCTTCTTTAATATTGATTTTTACAATTAACTCTCAATGTTACATAAGGTTTTGAAAATATAAATAGCACACTATATTCTTCTATCTAAATACTTTACATAATAACTCCCCATTAGATATCTGTTTTATTGATACATACTCTAGATGGGAACCTACTGAAACAGATATTTCTGACAGAAGATATCAGTCTATCCCTTCGCTGTCTGTGTCAGTCGCACGGCCTGTTAAATTGTGACAGCTAGTTAGTTACAGCGGTTGAATTTCCTCCCACAGGACTGCGAGTTTATATGACCTTTGCAGAACTATTCTTACCTGACTCTTCGTTCAACTTTCCTTCTCCTGCCCACCACGTTGCGTTTCAATTTAATGTTAAAGTTTTGATACCTATTTCTGGCTGACAGGCTTCTTAGGGCGGCAAATAAAGTTTGCTCTTCTAATGGGCTGCTTTTTTATTCTTTCCGACCGCATTTGATCACTGACTCCATTAAAGCATTAAGTGAACCGTCTGCTGTTTAAAGTACAATGAAGTCATATTTAATGTTCTCTGGAAATATGCATACAAAATAGTTTTATGTTTACACTTAATTTTCATTATACATTTTGCTGGTTTAAATACAGGGTGTGGCGTACAGCTTCCCAACGATATTTGTAATAGAAAAGTCTTATAGGAAAAAGTTCTATTTTACCTTTTTTTTCCTAAATTAAAGTTCAATTATGAATAAAAATATTTTCTCTGGAGCGGTCCTGTCCGCGTACGATGAGTTACGTGCTGTATAAACCAGCTGCGTTTTAATGCAAAAGTACAAATTAAGGAAAATATATATTTGATACTACTGATACTTTCTTATTATAATAATTAATAGTAATTATTATCTTAAATGCATTGCTGTTACTGCAAGAGTTCGCAAACAAAACCACATTCGTAAACATCTGTAGTTGCCAACTGCGTGCACTAAACAAACTCCATTAAAATATAGAACAAAATGAAATAAAACTTACCATTTCCAGAGGAAATGTAGAAATTGATTCCCATTAGCGCGAATACAGGCATGGCACAGACGCATCCAATTTTGACGAATATTTTCCCAAATTTCAGGTATTCCCCTAATTGTGTCAGCAGCTTCAAGTATACGGTTTCGCAATTCAAAAAACGTGGGCTTAACTTTTGGCGGCACAATATGTT